TTATTCACATGTTGTAAGCAAGAAGATAAATTTGAGTTGTGAAAAACTCATTCTTGGAAACAATAAGAGAAAATATGGGCCAGGTACGGTGGCTCACGCCTGTAATCCCAGCACTTTGGGAGGCTGAGACGGGCGGATCGCGAGGTCAAGGGATTGAGACCATCCTGGCCAACATGGTGAAACCCTATCTCTACCAAAACTATAAAAAATTAGCTGGGCATGGTGGCACGAGCCTGTGGTCTCAGCTACTGAGGAGGCTGAGGCAGTAGAATCGCTGGAACCCGGGAGGTGGAGATTGCAGTGAGCCGAGATCCTGCCACTGCACTCCAGCCTGGGGACAGAGGGAGACTCCGTATCAAAAAAAGAAAAAGAAAGAAAGAAAGAAAAAGATAATACGGAAGATGGGCTGTAGTTATTTGAAACGGCCACTACTGCAGTGGCCCAAGTGAGCATTAGCATAGGTAGGGAATAACCACTACATGCTGGGCACACGTCTAAATGCTTTGGGTATAGACTCATTTCCTCCATTACGAAAGCCCGCTGAGAGAGGTACTACTATTCATACCGATTTTACAGATGAAAAATGAAGCACACACAAGTCTAATTTCACAGACCACAACTGATGTCTAATTTTATGACCACTACATTACATTGCCTACAGACAGTAATAAGAAAATGGAAGAAAGTATATGGTTTCAAGAGCTCTATTTCAGAAGAAAAATCAACAAGACTTGCTGATGTGTTGGATATAGGATATCAGAGAGTATCAAGAATGATACCCAGGTTGCCAACTGCAAACTTAAATGCTGAAATCATCCTTCGTTTCTCCTTCTCCTTCACAACCTCATCTCAAGTCCTACTGGTTTTTCATATCCTCAAATTTCCCATGGTCATTGCTCCTTTCCAGTCTGCCGTTAGTTTTTTCTTGCTTGGACCAGTTAACAGACCACCTGTTTCCATCGTGCCGCCAATCAGTCCTCCTCCCTGCAGTTAGCAAGAGCTAAGCCATCTGCCTCTAGTCCAGGTGGCTGGAAGATCAGTCGACTACTCAGCATATCTTAAATAAGCACATCAGTGCTCTCTCAATTTAAAACATGTTAGTACTCTGTCTCATATGACATGAACTTCAAAGCCTTTGCCACTGCACACAGTTTTTTTGTGATCTAGACTATACATGTCTAGTGTCAAAACAGTGAACCCCCACCCACCCCCGACACTTGTATTCTCTATTTCAGGAATGACCAACTGTAGTTCTCCAAGCAAGGCACCTTCCGGTGACACTGCCTGTGCATATTCTTTTATCTAGAATCCTCATCCACTACTTGGAAAACTCCTACTCCTCTCTTTTTGAGATGGAGTGTCGCTCTGTTGCCCAGGCTGGAGTGCAATGGCATGATCTTGGCTCACTGCAACCTCCTCTTCCCAGGTTCAAGCAATTTTCCTGCCTCAGCTTCCCAAGTTGCTGGGATTACAGGCGCCCACCACCGCGCCCAGCTTTGTATTTTTTAGTAGAGATGGGATTTCACCACAGTGACCAGGCTGGTTTCGAACTCCTGACCTCAGGTGATCTGCCCACCTGTGGCCTCCCAAAGGGCTGGGATTACAGGCATGAGCCACCATGCCTGGCCTCCTTTAAGATTCTTAGTGAAGTTTTTGCTGTCCTTCCCTTCTTCCTCCTCTAATCCCCACAAAGTTCTTTGTAAACAGCAACATTCTTACAATTCAAATGAAGTATTTACACATGATAGACAAATGCACTTGTAGAGATGCCCAGGGGATGGGGGCCAGGATAAGGAAAGAGCATTCTCACAGCTCCCCCAGAATATTCCTCTTCCATTTTCAGGAAGCTCCCTCCTCCTTTTAAGGACAGCCCAGACCTTAAGATCAGTCTTCCAAAGTCCCTGACATGGCCCCCAAGTCATGGTTATCTTCTCCATTCCAACTGCAGCCATCATGTGGAAAGTATTAGCTGCCATTCTGAGGTTCAGATAATATGCTAAAATGAGTCACTGTTCTCAGATTCCCCTTTTCTATGGCTGTTAGTGTCACTGCTCAGAACTACTTCACCTAGTCTCCATCCCAAACTTCCTATCCTACACGTCACATTCATTTTATCTTCAATCCCTATCCCTTCCCTTCCACCCAGTTTACCAGTGCCTTACTGATCTGACTGCTCTCAAGACCCAGCCCAAATTCCAGGGCCAATCTCCAGCAATCTTTAATGACCTTGCCTTTCAGACACACCTGCCTTGCAAAATCCAACCCTAGCACCAATCCACTTTTTCCCATCCCACATTCTTGGCAGCTGAGCACTGGAGAAGTCGCAACATGCCCCCAGCCAATGAAATTCATGGCTTTCTATCTCAACTGCATTCTCAAAGAAACTCCTCAATCTTTTCACTTGGCTTTGATCAGTTTCCTCCATCTTCCTGGCTGTTAATACTAACAAAAATGTGAAACATGATCTATGGCAGACAGGTTAACAAAACAACCTTGAGGGTGTTGAATACTGCATGGGAAGAAAATAGAAGGTTAAATAAGGTAAATGTAATAACATAGGTCTAACGCTATACACACATACACACAGCGTTAAAGGACATATACATATATATGTGTGTCCTTTAACGCTGTATATATGTCCTAAGTCATTTACTTTCATGGCACTAAGAAATATTATTTCTTCTAGATTTTTAGAGTTTGAAAAATAAGGGGAAGTGTGGACCAGTAGTAAGAATGGCTGCTTTCAAATCCCTTCCCGTCCAAGGTACTCTTTACACTTACTATCCTTTAGCAATGAGACACACACAACTTTTGCTTGTTTTCATTTTAATTTATTCTGGGTTGTTTAAAATGAAAGTTAAAACATCATACAAACCACAGAAACTTTAGAGTACTGACCGGTTTTAAAACAGTGAATGATCATTTACACACATTCCTCATCTTTACTTTTACATCTCGTTATATATACAAAGGTACTATTAAAACACAGAATTCTAAATCTTTATAAACCTATTTGTCAAGCAGCAAGATGGCAATGCCTCATAGCAGAGCACAGAATATTTCCTATAAGGAACCACAGCAGCAGTATTTGGTGAATGGTTATGCATAGAACCAACTTGGAGGATCACGTTAAACATTCCCCATGAAACAGGCAGCACGTGTACACCAGCAAATGAAAAACGTAGCTTTAATTGATATAAGATAAAATGTTACTCTTTACACTTTAAGTTAAAAACTATAGGACACTGTAGAAGCAGACAATACAAGGTGCTTTAGTTCCAGACTCCACAACAGACTCATTCCATTAGTCGCTTGAGTGTCCATAACCTTTGAGGACTAATCAATGGCTTTTTAAAGTCAACCTCAAATATAAAAGCACTTAAAGTTTACCAGGCAAAACCTAGTTACATCTTACATGAAAACATACTATTTGAGAAAACTGAACTTTAAAAAGACTGCGTCGTCGTTCAAAATTCGTTATTCAAAATTTTACTTTTAAGAGCAACAATTTTGTTGCTCTTTCAAATCTTTCAACACGTTTTAAGATGTCATGTTTTGTAAATTCACTGCTTTATATATTCCAAACTTTCAGCAAAATAAAATTAAAATGGGTTTTCAACCTATTATCTAAAGAAATGGGTCTGCATGTCTGTGAAGTGTCTGTCTACCACAGAGCAATGTATTTGTTTCAACTATGAAAATATCACTACAAAATCCATCAAGTGAATTTTATATTCATTTTGATGGAAATATCAAAAACCTCGTTTAACAGCACTACACAAATATTTAGTATTTTTGGCATTTAAATCAGAGCAACGCAATCAATGCAATTGGTACAGGCAATTTTCACAAAAAGTTTCAAAGGCAAAACATTTGGAAATGAATGGCTGGTTGGGAAGGAAATAAAAAAACCTACCAGTCCTCAATGTTAGAATTAATCCTCGAAAGATGGCCTGCTGATGACCATCATCCTTTGTGGGAGTTTAGACAAGATTCTAATACATGTATGTGTTCTCAATGCTCATAAACTGTCAAGCTCTAAAATTAATCACAGGATAGTTCACCTCCCACTGAGACTGAAAATGTAGTTGTGATGCAATTCTGCTAAGTTTGCTACAAAAGCACTGAACAGGAAAAGGAAAAGAAACACTATACCACATAAATAATTCTGTGTTAACTATTTATCTTGCCTCTTTTAGTGGCATTAAGAAATATGTACCATGGTAAGTGTGTTGTGAGGTGCACAAAGAGAAAACAGTTCTAAACAAAGGATTTATTTGTACATCTTCATATTGGTATCAGTGATGTTTCTTTACCCTTCCTAAATGAGAGTCTAAGAGCTAATTAGTATGCTTTTAGGTATAGCTCACAAGTTAAATATTTCCTAAAATTACATAAAATAAGACATGCTTGAAACATAAACGTCAATAAATAATGCCAACATACATATCTCTACAAAGTTTAATCTGTATTAATTTGGGCACGACTCTTCTAGATTTTGGGGGGAGAGTTACATCAGCCATCACTTTTCTTTTAAATGAGACAGACTCTCCCTCTGTCTCCAGGTTGGAATACAGTGGCGCGATCTCGGCTCACTGTGATCTCCACCTCCTGGGTTCAAGCAATTCTCCTGCCTCAGCCTCATGAGTAGCTAGGACTACAGGTGTGCACCACGACACCCGGCTAATTTTTTGTATTTTAGTAGAGAAGAGGTTTCACCATGTTAGTCAGGCTGGTTTCGATCTCCTGACCTCATGATCCGCCTGCCTTGGCCTCCCAGAGTGTTGGGATTACAGGCGTGAGCCACCACGCCCAGCCAGCCATCATTCTTTAATATTGACACAAGAAGCTCACCAGCTACTTTAAGTTTTTCAGCAACTATTATCTAACCTTAGGTATCCACCATAAAACAGAATCCATAGTTCAAAACATTAGACTATGAAAAATCTGATTTAAATATCTTCCCAGTATGAAGAAGTTTTGGGGGCATTTTCTTCTGACTATTTTATGATGATATTTAGCTATTATGAAGCATTAAAATTAATGCTTGAAACTGTCACTGTTTTGTTATGCCCTAGAGTCACATAAAAATAGAAACGTGTATCTAATAAAGAAATGAAGACAGAAAGACTATGCCTCGTTTCTCAGCTGCTAGGAAATCTTCCCCTAGCAAATAAATAAAACTAAAGTTATGTCCTGTGAATTCCCTTTTAGTATCTCCAAAAGCTACAATATAGCAAAGAGGCGTTCATCACAAACACAACTTGGGACAGAGCCAGTGAACTGTTAAACAAAACTCTAAGCAAGAAGTATGAGGTATCAAACATAACAACACACCATCATAAAATAGAGGTTGAATAGATATCTTGTGATGACTCGTTCTTAATAAAGGTTTTTAAAAAACATAGAAAGAACTTGGATTAATAAAGTAAGTTGGCTTTGCATTTCATTCTTGTTAGAAAGCAGGTAACACTAAACAGGAAGTTTCTTTAATTCCTATCTCTCCTCCCTGGTAAACACTCAGTCCAGAGTTCAGTTAAGACAAACATAGAAACCTGGCAAGAGAGTCATTTTACAGCCAAGCAGGTAATTTCACCCACTACTGTTTTCCTCAATACCCATTACCTTTGAGGTCTTGTCACTGAATTATTGTTTGTGAAGAAGTGTTTCTCTCCACAACACATTCCTTGAGTATAAAGTCCTTCTATACAAAGGGAGTAACTAATCTCATTCTTCCTAAAGTAGAAGACAGTTCTTAGATTCCTAAATTACCACTCTAAAATCTCGAATAGGTTACCCCCTACCCAAAATAAAATGTGTTTCACACAGGATAACAATTTTAACATTATGAGTCAGAATCAAATTCCCCAATAAATAACTGCTATCTTAAAAAGAAAAATAAATTTACAAGCTACCATTTTTAATTTAACCTAAGATACTACCAATTGTTAAGATGCACCGTATGTATCACTAAGAAAAAACACTGCCCATTAAACTATGACACAATGCTTTCTTACCACAGAAAATGTTTTTTATATTTATTGAAACAGCACTTTGAGTTAAACAGATTTTTATCATATCTATCTTGCACATATGTAAAGAAAATGTGTGAAACAAACTGGTTAAGTATAATTATAACTTCATATTCTGAATCCAACTCTTCTGAATCACTTTTCAAACCACAGTCCATTTTTCCCCCAGTGTTGTCAAGAGTGCTGGTTATACAGCACTTTTGAAAGAATGCTCCAACACTGTCTTCTGTTTAATAGCAGCAGGGAGCTTGGGGCAAAACGATGTTTGATGCCTTAATGACAGTCCTGCTTGGTGCATGAATCAGTCACACCAGCCTCTTGTGGCTCTGAATTTTGTTTCATCAATTCCCAGGGTTTTGGCAATTTCTCCTGCCTTCAGTTGCATTGCTTGGCGTGTGATAGGCAATCCTTTTGCATGTGTCTCCCTGATAAAATGTAGTACAGCTTCGTCTACTTGTGGTTATCTACCTTTCTTAGGTCCTGTAAAACATTTTGTTGTTGCTTTGCAGGAAAATATGGAATTTCGATCATTTCTCCAGGGACGAATATTTGCTTCACTGATATCAAATGTGCGCCCTGCTGCTCTGTTTTCGTGCTTTTCTGCGTACACAATAACTTTTCATTTCAATGCTGAATCATAGTGTAATCTTTTTGAAGACATTTTAAAATGTCAATTAAATCTGACACATTTGATACCAACAATACACATGTTGGTTAAAGGGATGACACGTTGACAAGCTGTAAATTCGCACATGCACAAAGTAGGAGAATTACATGACTATTACCTAGCTGACAGTAATGAGATGCATCCCAATTTCTGACAAGTTAAACTAGGGAGAAAAATGAACACTTCAGGGCTAATAAAATATGGTTTTTCAAGCCTTTAATGTTTACCAGATCTGCAACAGTGCGAGAAAATAAGCCCAAAAGCCAAGGAAATAAGTGTCTAAGTAGAAAGCTGGTGAAACAAAAGATTATCCTTAAGATGAAATTTATAATAGTTCAATTTGGTTTTAATTCCCTTTATTTTTATATGGCTTACATTTTATATGGCATACTTAAAATCCAATACAAATTGTTCTTCAGTCATTAGTAAATTTCAAAGCCAAGTCACTTAGAGACAGAAGCTGGCAGCTGCCTTTCATCCTTCACGAGTACAGGACTACGGCTGGGGTCAGCGGCCTTCGTCAGCAGGTGCCCTCCTTTGACGAGCAGATCTGATTCTGTGTGGAGAGGAGGAAACGTCTTCTTCAGTTTCAGACCCTGAAGGTTCATGATCTCCCTCTTGGGATCCTGTATCTCCCACCAGTTCCCGGAGAAACTTGAATTTTGATAAAAAAAGATGCCATACAAAATACCAACCTATAGAGAAAGACAAAAACATTAAGAAAATTTATTACACAATGTTATCAATTCACAATGTTATAGTAAATGGGGGGCATATTACAAAATAATATATAAAAATATACGTAATTACAAATATATATTGATATAACAAGCATTTTTTATACGAGGAATAAAGATAAACTCTGGAATTACACTGGTGGTAAAAAACAGTCTCCACTCTCATAGAATTTAGAATCCAGGCTGAGTCCATCTACAGTAAAATCATAAAGAGTTTATGATATCTAAGTAAAAGTGTTACTTTTATTAAAATCAAATTTTTGAGAGCATTTTTCTGGGAAGAAAGAATATGCTTTGCCATTTACTTGGACTTTCATCTCAGTGCTATTTATTTACTAAAAGCAAGTTTGTTTCAATCAGAATGCATAAGAACTTAAATAGTAGGACTTAACTGCACCATGGTGAAAACTACTCAGTCAGGACCAAGCTATTTATAAGTTTCTAGAAATAATTTTCAAAGAAGATATATTTTCTTAAATTATATAATGAAAGACTAAAGCCACAGCACCAGTATCTTAAAGATGTTTAAAACACAGATTTTTAAAATACAATATTTTCATTTCAAAGTCATTAAAAAGTATGACTAATTCTCTTTTAACAAAAAAAAGGTTTTGTTTTTGAAGGAGTATTAAGTAAGGTTTTTAAATGCTCACTAATAAGAAATAAACATTAATCAATAAAGGAGCACACAGGAGAAAACCTCTGAACCTATGCTTGGTTGCTCTGAAATGTTAAGAGCATAAAATAAACTAACCATTGTAACAAGGTTTTCCATGCTACGTGTTTTCTTGATGCTGTCTACTTTAAAGACTCCAATTGCACAGAATAGAAATGAAACACGGCATATTTTGTGAAAACAAAATACAACCAGCTTTTCTTGCCCAGTGTAAATCCAGACCAAGATAAATGGCTACATAAGGGGAGTTTCTAATTTTTTTTTTCTTACAATCTCTGGGGAAAAAAAATTACTATAAACCCCTTGACACTAGAGACAAACTTCAGAGATTTAATCCATTTCTCAAGTTTTGCTTTAAGCTTGAGTGCTGAGTACTACCTGAACCAAAACACAAATATTTTTTGGTCAACTGTGTGTTTGAGTAAAGCACCCAACTTTGTAATATATTATTTTAATGATATTCCAAATTAGCATCTTCTCTCTTCACCCAAAATTCTTTGTAAAATAGGCACAGCAAATTAGTGGAAAGAACACGGAGGAAGGAGTCAGTAGTTCCAGTTCTGACAGAAGATTCACAAAGCTATAGTGAGGATTGAATGAGAAGGTAACAAAAGGGCTTAGGTGCCTGGCATTAAGCATTTTCTAAAATGTTCAATTGTTGTCAGTTGTGCTTGTCCTTAGGCAGTGAGATCTGAGGTCACTTCTGTTGGGTTTTTAAATTGAGGTATATTCACATACCATAAAATTCATCCTTTTAAAGTATACAGTTCAGTGTTCACAGCTTATACAACCATCACCATTACTAAAGTCCAAAATGGTTTCATCAACCCCAAGGGAAACCTCATACCCTTTAACAGCCATTCCCTATCCCTGCTCCCCACAGCCCCGGCAACCACTAATCTACTTTCTGTCTCTATGGATTTGCCTATTCTGAACACGTCATTTTAATGAAATCACACAATACGTGTCTGGTTTTTATTTTACTTTTTTTTTAAAATTTTTATTTTTTCCACCTGAATTTCACAGGACTGTGTCTGGTTTTTCAAACTCAGCCTGTTTCCAAGGTGTGTCCATTGTGTTGTATGCATCAGTACTTCATTTTTTTATGGTTGAATAATATTCCATTTTACATGTATTACATCCTGTTTAAGGACTCATCAACAGATAGACATTTAGAAGTTTCTACTTCTGGCTATTACAAGAAACAAAGTTGCCACTTTTTGCCTGCAATGAATACTTGTGTACAAGTTTTTCCATGGATGTATGTTTTCATTTATCTTGGGTATATCTATCTAGAAGGAAATTGCTGGGTCATATGATAACTGTGTGTTTAAACACTTGTGAAACTGCAAAGTAACTAAAACACTTTACATTCCCACCTGCAATGTATGAGGTTCCAATTTCTCTACAAACTCACCAACACTTTTTATTTTTGAGCTTTTTTATTACAGTCATCCTAGCAGGCATGATGGTGTATCATGAAGCTTTGATTTGCATTTCCCTTGTGACTAATGATGTTAAACATCTTTTCACGTTCTTATTAGCCATCTGTTATTTTCTTTGGAGAAACAGCTATTCATTTCTTTTTTAAAATATATATATATTTTTTATTGCATTTTAGGTTCTGGGGTACATGCGAAGAACATGCAAGATTGTTGCACAGGTACATACATGGCAATGTGGTTTGCTGTCTCCATCCCCATCACCTGTATCTGGCATTTCTCCCGATGTTATTCCTCTCCAACTCCCCAACCCCACTGTCCCTTCCCTAGTTTCCCCCAACACAGACCTCACTGTGTGATGCTCCCCTCCCTGTGTCCATGTGTTCTCATTGTTCAACACTCACCTATGAGTGAGACCATGCAATGTTTGATTTTCTGTTCTTGTGTCAGTTTGCTGAGAATGATTGTTTTCAGGTTCATCCATGTCCCTACAAAGGGCACGAACTCACCATTTTTTATGGCTGCATAGTATTCCATGGTGTATATGTGCCACATTTTACCTGTCCAGTCTATCTTCGATGGGCATTTGGGTTGGTTTCAAGTCTTTGCTATTGTAAACAGTGCTGCAATGAACATCCGTGTGCATGTGTCCTTACAACAGAACAATTTATAATCCTTTGGATATATACCCAATAATGGGATTGCTGGGTCAAATGGATTTCTATTTCTAGGTCCTTGAGGAATCACAACACTGTCTTCTACAACGGTTGAACTAATTTACACTCCCACCAAAAGTGTAAAAGTGTTCCTATTTCTCCACATCCTCTCCAGCATCTGTTGTCTCCAGATTTTTTAATGATCGCCATTCTAACTGGCATGAGATGGTATCTCAATGTAGTTTTGATTTGCATTTCTCCAATGACCAGTGATGATGAGCATTTTTTCATATATTTCTTGGCCTCATATATGTCTTCTTTTGAAAAGTGTCTCTTCCTATCTTTCACCCACTTTTGAATGGATTTGTTTGTTTTTTTCTTGTAAATCTGTTTTAGTTCTTTGTAGACTTTGGATGTAAGTCCTTTGTCAGATGGGTAGATTGCAAAAATTTTTTCTCATTCTGTTGGCTGCCGGTTCACTCTAATGGTTGTTTCTTTAGCTGTGCAGAAGCTCTGGAGCTTAATTAGGTCCCATTTGCCTATTTCGGCTATTCATTTCTTTTGCCCATTTTTAAAATTAGGTTGCTTGTCTTTTTATTATTGAGTTGTAAGAGTTCTTTGTATATTCTAGATATTAGATGCTTATCAGATATATGATTTGCAAATATTTTCTCGCATTCTGTGGGCCATCTTTTCACTGTCTTGAGAAACTCCTTTGAAGCACACAAGTTTTTAATTTTAAGGAAGCCTAATGCATCATTTTTTCCTTTGTTTGCTTGTATTTTGGGTGGCATATCTAGGTACTCACTGACTAATCCAAAGTCATGAAGATTTACACCTATGTAGTTCTTCTAAGAGTTCAATAGTTTCGGCTTTTAGGTGTAAGTCTTTAATCCACTTTTGTTAATTTTGGTGTAAGACAGAGGTCAAAATTCATTCTTTTGCATGCAGAAATCAAGCTGTCCCAGAATCATTTGTTGAAAAGATTATTCTACCCTACCATTACCTTGTCTTGGCACCTTTGTCAAAAACCAATTGACCATAAATGTTACAGTTTATTTCTGGACTCTCAATTCCACCCCATTAACTTTATACTAGTACCATACCATGTTGGTTAATGTAGTTGTATATTAAATTTAAAAATCAGGAAATGTGAATTGATAAATGTTCTTTTTCAAGATTGTTTTGACTATTCTGAGGCATTTTCATGTGAATTTTAGAATCATCTTGTCAATTTGAGTAAAAAAAAAAAGACAGCAAGAATTTTGATTTAATCTGTAGATCAATTTGGAGACCCACATTTTTTTTTTGTTTTTTTGTTTTTTTGTTTTTAATTTCTCTGTATTTAACCAAATTTTCCCACAATGAACACACATGGCTTTGGCAGTTGGGATAAATAAGAAAGAAACTGGTAAGTAAATCATGAATACTATGTAGACTTTTATTTTGTAAATACCTCGATGCCATTAATTGGCTTAAATTAACAACGTCAGTTCACTTCAACAGATACTAAGAAAAACTTCTCAACTCTTAGGTTAGACTTGAAAATGTAACTCAAAAGGTAAAAGAACTCACTTGATCAGGGTATTATGCTAAACAGGTATTACAGTGGTAAACTTAACTATTGGAGAATTATAATCTTGCTTAAGAAAAAAAAAAAATGATGGTCTTGATCTCATTAAAACCAAAGACTCCAACAATGGCTACAATGTATAAAATGACCATAACGAAGAGTGAGGAAGTCTTCTGACTGAAAAGACTATGATAAAGGGCCTCACCACTGGGGTTCCCACCATAAAGTACTATAGTGCTCTTGGGATGGTTAAGAGAAAGATTTCTCTCAGCACAGAAATCTACAAGGTAAGGAACTAAGGACAGCTGTAGCTTTCAGAAGTTTGGGATATTAGAGCATTTAGCTAGATCACAGACTCTCTCTTCTCCAATTTTAGTAAAAGGAATCAAAGAAATTTTTTTGGTAATCACTCCCAGCAACCAATGTAAAGGACTCAATTTCAAGTCAAAATTCAGAACCAGAATGCAGTGCCAATGAGAAAAACTCCAGAGTTTGGAGAAGCAAGTTATGGCTACTATGTCCACTCACCACTCCCCTCCCCACCCTGGCCAGCTGAATCACTCCAACTCCATACTGCTGTAATTTTTATCCTCAAATCTGGAGAAAAGTAA